ACACACACACACACACACACACACACACACACACACACACACACACAGACTGGAGTACATGGCACTGCATAGTTTATTTGTATCTTTCCCTCCCTGTGAAGCAGGGTCTCACACTGCCCTGTTGGCTTTGAGTTCCCGAGAGTAACCTTAGACTTCTCATTCCCTCGTTGGGATTACATCTGTGTGTCAATATGTCAGAAGCACACATTAAATTCAATCCATAGTTTTGAAGGACTAGATTACATCTCTTATCAAAAACAACAAAAAGCTGAGGCCAACTGAATATGAGCTAAAGAGGAAAAATTATTTTCAGTACAGAGGGAGATGACACAAATCTGATTACATAGCTAAGAACACGATGGAATAAAGCACCAGAAATGCTTTCAGGATGGTTTCTCGGGAGATCACCCAGTGTTCTAGTCTCAATGGCTGGTGGTGCTATCCCTTCAGTTGCCTGAACACTTAGATTCTTTCCTAAATGTAGGTGACAGAGGGATAGTGTTTAAATGAGGACTTGGAAGTGTGGGAATTCTCTTGGTGAACAGGAATGACTCGGGTCATGTTTTGTAAGAAGGTGAAGGTTTGACTCTCTGGGCTGGATCATGCATAGTGTGTCCTCCTACAGAAGACCTCATCCCAAGGCTGACTTATGATATGTGCAGTGACTCAGCATTCCCAATCTTGACTGAGGAAGACCAAGTCACTTTAACAACACTGAGGTACTCGGGGAAGAGGCTCTCAGTTGAAGAGTGAAGAAGTGGACCAATCTCTCCAGCTGCCCTGCATCTGCATCTCGTTACTACACATGAGTCTTTTCCTCCCTCCCCTCATGTTCAATGTTAAATGAGCTTCTCACTGTCCAGGACCTGCAGTTAATTAAAGAGCACTGAGGAAATACTGTGTCATCCAGATAAACACTGTTCAGTGTTTCACACCGGGCACAAAGCCTCCCTTCGGAAAGCTCAGATGCTTCTCCAGCTTCTGTATTGCATATTTTCTTACCTTGGCTCCTTCTGAAGGCAAATCATGGCGTCTGTGTTTCCTCATAAGAACCTGGTCAGATCCCATTCTGCTGTGCCTTCCATTTAAGTTGGAGTTTGCGGTGACGCCAGGCTTTGGAGAGCCATCCCCTAGGATGCGACATCCCATCACCTGATTAGTCCCGAAGGAATCCCGAGGGCACCAGGCTTCAAGAGGCATTGGCTGGTCCCTGGAAGGCACACTCTCTCCATGGTGGAAGTGTCTGCTCAGTCTATTGTCAGGTGGGATTGGGGGAGGCCTCTCTGGAGGAGGGGGAGGATCTCTCAAGGGAGGAGGGGGTGCTGGGAGTGGTTTGTCTTGTTTCCTAACCATGCATGGAGAAGACTAAAGAGAGAGGAGACAAAACACAAATCCAAGAAAGCATTTGTACCATGTACTGAAAAGACCTTCAGACTCAGATTACTCAATTTCCATTTAACCACAATGCTGTATTATTAAATTTCTAATAACATTTTATGTGCCTTTTTACTAGTTTCTTTTATTACTAATGAAAAATTTGAAAATTAATGAAAAACTTACATTAATGTACCACACTCAGAATTTTGAACAAATGATGACATACATATAGGAGTTCTAGAAATCATACAGGAAAGAAGTAGAAAGTTAAAATTATCTACTTTGGCTGCCATTATATCATCATGGCAATAATAAATTTGTAAATCTCTGTCATTCTACAGATAAAGATTCCATAACACATTTTTCATTGCTTCTTCACCTTTGAAAAGAGAAGTTATTTGAAATATTTAAAGTTTTAAAATTCTTTTTTGTTTTCCTTTTTGTAGTTCAGTGGAACCCAAACGGTCCATTTGCTTTGGCAATTTTAACAGTATCACTAGAACAGTAAAGATAGAAATGGCAGAGCAGTTGCTGATAGACTCATGGCTTTCTGGGTTCTTAAAATTAAAAAAAAAAAATGAGCACCTGCCAGGCTAACAGCTAGAGGACAAACAGAGGTGAGTCCTCCCAAGGGGAATCTGCATGTCCCTCAAGAGCTTCTAGTGTTTATTCAAAAGCTTATTTAATAAATAGTTGGTGCCTTTTACATTAGGAAATGTCAAGGAACAAGAATTTGTTGCATGTCTACATAATTCAAAGTTCTACCCTAGCCGGGATTCACGGGATTGAAGCCAAGTTCTAGACAGTGCAAGAGAAGAAAACAGCGCTAAATGCATTGTACTCTTTGGTATCCTAGACTGTAAGCCCATTAGCAAATAGTATTTAACTTTTTATAAATTTACATTTAATAAAATATATGCTCTTTATTATTAAAATGTAAAAGAATCCCATATAAAACTACAATGAACTGTAGGCTTAAGCTAAAATTATGCCTTTAATATTAAACAGTAAAATAATTACTTTGCAAATATTGTGATTTGTTGTAATTAATTTCTTGGGTTTCTGTGTGATCTATCTTCTGAGTCACCTGCAGCATGGGTGATAATGTGTCACACCTCAAGTCCTTACACAAATACACTCCCCTTGCATTATTCTTGTCATGACAATATGCAAGTAAATGTAAAATACCATTTGATAACAGCATGCAAATTATTGTAATGCATATGATGACCTCTTTATAAAGCATTTTATGGATATTATTTCTTACACTGCTATTTACTTAAGCAAATCTGGGGGGTACAGACAGACTCTGAGTAATTATATAACTTTTATACTATATTTATAGCAATAAAGCAAGGGACATGACAGTGGGCTTGGTATAAATAAAATGAGAAACTTACCACTGTTGTTATAAACAGTTACAAGCCTAAGAAATAGGTACATGGACCAGAGAATTGTTTTCTGTTTTCCTGATGGCACTGACTCACCTTTGGGGAGCCTGTGGGGCTGCCACAGGGAGAGCGTACAATGCCTTTCTGGATGAGATCTAGGCGGGGAGGCACTGGTGGCAGGCTGAGGTGAGGGATCTGGAGAGGGTCTGGCTGAGGCTTTCTTCTCTGGGCAAGGGGTGAGGATCCTGGCGACGTGACTGGTGAGTTCTGCCTGTCTGTGCACTAGGAGAAAGCAGAGAAGATGCTGAGTTATCCTGTGTAAAGGGGAGAACATCCTGTCCTTGCTGGGGAGGACAGTGAGGGCCACCTGCATACTTGTTAAAATAAATGCTGAATGGCATATCTGGAGATCTCAGTGTGGTCCTTAAGGGGGCGGTTATCAAAGGAAGACTGAAAGAATTCCCTCACACCTCGTAGGAAGGGCTTCAGAGAAAAGCACATTAGAATGCTGCACAATCCAATGTAGGCTTTCTTCCCAGAATGGGACTTTAGCCTATGAGGAGACCAGAAACACACCTTATAGCAGTACACATTCTTCTGGACTACCTAAAAAGCCCACTATTTGTAAACAGAAGTTCTTTGTTTTTATACACTGTGCATTCACTACCACATGTTGCTCATGGGAAACTAGGAAATGAGGTCAGCCTTAAAACAAGGAGACATGTAATACACACGCAGTTCAGCCAAGGATATACTTTCTCCTTAAGCTTCCTTCCATAAGGAAAAGAAATCCTCAAGCTAAATGCTTTTCATTAAAAGCAGTTCTGAAAATCAAAGGTCTGTAGATGTGCTGCAACAGTCAAGATTCTATGCTGCCTCACGTTCTTCATCCTCTCTGGGAGTCACTGCAAAAGCTACACTTAGGAGCTAGAGAATTACATTCCCTCTTGCAAAGCTCTTTAACAATAATCAACTGAGAGGCCACTAGGTAAGCATCCAAAGATATGACATTATGTGTAAGAGGTGTCTGTACTGCCTTTACGCACTACAGTGCTATTCACAACAGCCAAGATATAGAATCACTGTGTCTACCAATGGATAGAGAAGGTGGAATATTATTCAGGGACATCTGTGGTGACATGTAGAGAAGGTCCTATGAGCTAAGGCAAATAGGAAAAGGCAGACGCTGTGCATTCTCTATGTGAAAGTGCAAAAAAGCCCATTCATAGGAGAGCAGAATTGTGAGCACCAGAGGGTAGGAATGGGATGGATGGATGTTTGGTAATGGATATGAAAATTAACCTAAGAGTATGAATGAATTCTAGTATTCCACAGGACATAGGATAGCTGCTGTCTGAAATGTTCTCACAATGACTTAGTAAAGCAGAGAGCTACACACTGCCCACCAAGGAAGATTTGAGAAACTGGTGACATCCTGGGATTAGACAGCTAGAAATTCATTTGCAAACCAAAGTTGTCAATATTTATGACAGTATGAAAGAACTGTGTTAATGAAAAATAAACAGAAAGAAAAGGCACTTGTAGCGGTATATAAGATAAGCCAGCGCATCTTCTCCTACTGTTTAATCTACCACAACAACAAGAAAAACCCGCTTAATATAGATTAAATAAAAGTACTGAAATTACTTTAAATATTAAAAATAGAATAAGAATATTACGTTAAAAACATGTTAAAACAGAAATAGTTGGTGGATACTAACAGTGATCAATACATAACCAAATTTAGAACTGACTTTTCTATGATCATTTTGTTCTAAGGCAAAGTCTAATAGTCAGAAGCCCCAAATTATAATGTGTAAAGTTTAGACATATGCATATTGGCACACTCTTTGTAATTGATAATGTTTTCCTGGACATGGTATCAATTTCCACAGTTTTCAAATTATTTCACTTGTTTGCTCTCTAATGTAAAAAATATACTTTCACTACATAAGCTTTGAATTAATTCTTATAAATTGCTATGTATGCTTGTTACTGACCAAAAATAGTTTTGAGTCTGCTCTATACTGGTTAGCACTATACAAAAGAGAATTTAACTATTATTAAATACCACCCCAGAACACAGCTCTGAAGTTGCTCGGAATAGATATACTGGCATTTAATCACCATTACCCTGCTGGGAGGACTTGTACTAAGCTCATTGTTTGCGATTATAAAGTAGCTTGAACATGAGACTTTTAAAGAAAAGATCATACAGCTTTTCCATCAGAGAAGAAGGTAATACAGAATTTATGATCCAGTATCCCAACCATTCACACTGGGGAGAATGGATCATTCTTTTGAGCTAAGGGAAATGAGTAACATCATTTGTTTATCTTGATTCCAAATCTGTGTCACCTTCAGCACCCTGGGATAACCAGTCCTTTTCGTTTCAGCTCTGCTCAGAATCCACAGGCCTTGGTTTCGGTCTCCAGGACCACCTCACCAGCATGTGTCTAACCGAATCTCCTAAATTCACATCTTCTACAGGCGGGGACTTAGGGACTGTACAAAAGTCAGAGACACAGTGGAACATTTCATGTGTTTACACCAATTCCTTCTTATTCATTTGATTTAGCTACTCTTTATCTCTCTGACAAGATTCACAATGTGTTTTATTACTTATGACACAATACTAGTGACCGCCATACAGACAGCAGGATCCACATCTGTGACTTTAACAGAAAACCTTCATGGAACAAGTTGAAGGAGCAAAGCATTTAAACTGCACTGCCTGTTGCTCAGCAACTGCTAACAATCGAGGGGAGGAGGGGGCTCAGCTACTGGAGGAACTTTTCACTTCATCCCCACTTTTAAGAATGACTTTAGAAGAACCTTTAATAAGATCCATTATTATGGAAATGGCCAGACATCTGCTAAGGAGCTTCAAGTCTAGGCAGGTTATTATAAAAATGGGGCAGGAGAAAAGCTCCCAATAACTAATGAGAGTTCTAACAATACAGAGATAATCAAACTCGCCTTATGATACTTCTAGCAAGATCTCTACTTAATGAATTTCTTATTTGAACAAGGGAGATGCCTGTATTATAATAAGCACGATGAGAAGGACCCAGAGAGTCAATATTTCTTTCTAAATGCCTGAGGATTAATGAATAGAGGTAATTTTTTAACCACATAAAATAGAATAAAATATTTTAAGTATATTTTCTTTGCTTCCAACTATTATCTTGGTCTTCATTTATTGTATTAATTTGTGAGCACAATGAAATTAAAAGTATTTAAAATAGCTAGTATTATTCAGAAGTCACACACAATGGCAATGTTTAGTTCACACTCAAACATTCTCACACAGTTTATAGTTAGGCACAAATAGTTAATGTTTTCCATTTTGGGTTATCTCTAGCACTGCCCCATTTAAATAATAAGCAAGTGGTTATAAGAAGAACATAGTGTTCTTCTTATAACCATACAGCAATTTTCTCTTTCTCTACAGTCAAGTTCCCAGAACCCTCAACCTGTAAGCAATTGAAAGAAACTCAAACTGAGACATTGGGAAGAAACTCAAAATGAAATGTCTGGTAAGCATTTCTTGGACTTCTCTGGGAGAAGAAGTGTGGGCATCCTGCTGCCTCACTAAGAGACAGATAGTTAATCCACTGTGGAGAGAAGGTGAGCTGGTTTCTTAGATACTGTTCTACTGCCACCTCAAAACATTACGAGCTTATAAAAAGAAGGTATTTAATTTGGGATTCGAGATTTCACAGAGTGGTAGAGTCCATGACCATCATGACAGGGAGCATGGCAGTAAGCAGACAGGCAGGCGAGGCTCTGGAGTAGTAGCTGAGATCTCACATTTTGATCCACAAGCAAAAGGTGGAGAAAGACAGAGAGAGACAAAAGTCTGTTTGTCTGTCTCTCTCACACATGCACATGCCCACTCGCAAACACACACACACACACACACACACACACACACACACACACACACACA